ATGACAATGATGCCGACAACAACGACGATGACAACAAGAAGAACAACGACGACGATGATGATGACAATGATGCCGACAACAACCACAACGACGACAGCAGCAGCAGCAGCAGCAGCAGCAGCAGCCACGACGACAGCGACCACGACGACAGCGACAACGACAACAGCGACAATGACAACAGCGACAATGACAACAGCGACAACAACAACGACAACAACAACGACAACAACAACCACGACGTCCACAACAACAACCACGACGACATCAATGATGACAACGATGATGACAACGATGATGACAACGATCACGACAACGATCACGACAACAACGACAACATCAACAACAACAACAACAACAACAACAACAACAACAACAACAACGATGAATTAAGAAATTGCTCTTACCTCGGTCTGCTTTGTGGGATCGGAATTGATGCCAATCATAGGGATTTTGTCATCCAGAAAGTGGCTCGTCTCCAACATAGTCCCATCGCCACCGATAGTGATAACAAGATCAACGCCCTGAATTGGTTCTCGGAGTTCATCGCGGCGAATGCTCTGCCACTGCACGCCACACTTCTCAAGCACTTCGTGGCACTTGGAAACTGCATTGGAATGAGCTAAATGTCTATCTGTAAGGTTGCACACCAACTGCTGAAGCCCATAGGTTGGAAAGCAGATGTGTCAGGTGCTAGGGTTATGAGGAACAGAGTATGGGAAGTGAAAGGAGAACGGTGAAACAGACCAGACCATGGTTTTGTTGCACGGCAGTGTCAAGGTGGAGGTCAGGGGAAGTAAAGCAAACAACAAAAAACAGAAATCAGGACCAGGTACAGGCTGTATTTATTTATTTGTTTTAGTTATTTAGCATATTTTGCATCCGCACTGTGCTCCGCACGGTGTTCGGATGCGGCACCTCTTCGTGCGCAATACCACCAGAAGTTTCCCTTCTTTTTTTTTGGTACTATTTTTCTTTTCCCCCCATACAGAAGACTGCACCACCTAAGGAACAGATCCTTTTCAAGTACAGTCGTACATATTTTTCTTTTCGTCCTATTGGCGATGAGAAATAGCCTCAAATAGGTGTCTGGGACATCAGTCTAGGCCTTTAGGTGGTGACATTACTCTCCCACTATTTTTTTTTTGTTTTAAATCCCACAACAATTTTTCAAAGGGGGACCATTGACCAGGTCGGCTACCTCTTGTTTTTTTCTGGATGAATGTTTCCCCCGTGCGCTGCACCGTGCAGGTCCGCTCGAGCGCCGTACGTGCACAATTTTCTGCACGGTGTGTGCTTGTGAAACGGTATTCACCAATTCGTGGTAGCTGAGGTAGATCCCAGGGCTCGATCCCTAGTTCCCCAACTTACCTGTGTACAATACCTGCGTCAACT